TAGTACTACGCGCAAAAAGCAATTCCTGGGGTGCTGAAATTAAATTCGTCCAGTAATTCACCTCGCTTGAACCCGATCCTGGATAGTGACGACGTATGGTAACCAACATAAGACGTAAATGGAGGTCAATCCCTAATAGCAAAATTTAAGGGATCTAGAGTTAATTTGTCGTGCTAAAATCAGGGCTGAGTCTGATTTTTTGCTTCACTGCTCGTATGTGTCGTTGCTAAGCGCGCAAACGCGTTCGTGCACAGCTATTGGAAAATCGACCGGCCTTCGCACTGAGCGGCCACGTCACACCTTGGCACGCCATTTGGTGCATTCTCACGCTGCTGAGTGGTCGAATTGCTGCCTGGATGTTTCTTTTGGACTACGTCGCATAAGTTGTCGACTTTTTCCGCATGTTTCAAGCCTATTTCCAGGACTACCCGTTAAAGGCGTATAAAGCATGTGCTTCTGGAACATGTGGGTGAAATTATTAATAAATTTGACGAAGTTTTCGCGTCTGACGCATCATCGTCGGGCTGGACTATAAGGACCTCTTCCTCTTCGACGTCTTCGTCTGATTGAGAACCGCAAATCTCGAGGGATTAATAGGGAAAGTTTTGGAGCTCACACTCGCAGGTTTTTCGAATGCGATGCTGGGGAACCTGGCAGTGTCACTGAGGTGACAATATATGACAGACAAGGAGGGAAGAAGGTATTTTTCAGGACTGACGTTTATAAAGTCATATTGAGTAATTTAGAATAATTTACCTTTAACATACCACCCTTCATAGACCTTCACAATTGCCCGCGGATCCCCCGCAGTGGACCGCAAAAGCTTCGAAGAGGCCTTCAAGACCACCTTTCAGAAGGCCTACGACCGCAATCTAAAGCGGCTCTTAGGGAAATCAGCAGAGAGGTTCATTACCGGTAAGTCAACGCAAACACTTACGTAGTCTTTAATATCATCCTTTGCACACTATAACCTATTTCAATTTTTAAAATTCCAGAGTCTGAACCCCAACCCCCAACTCCAATCCCTTGGGATTCAATATACCCGAGGACAATCAGAGACAATTATTTTTGTACAACTATTTTTTAGTTTAATAAAGTTTCGTAATATATAAAACAGACTTCAAAAAAGTGCTACGCGGAATATCGTCCGAATTGGGGATTCTTCACGATAAGTAGAAGTCCCGCTGTGCAAAAAGTTTTGAGATGCGAATTCTCGTACGATTTCTTGTTTCAAATTCATACGAAACTTCGTACAAAATATTCGTGCTCCGTGGCTATATTGCTATTAGGGATAGAAAATTAAGCTAGAATTCGAATAGAGAAGAGCCCCAGCCCCATCTTTATTATCCAGTTTTCGATAAGACAATTTCCAGAATTAGAATTTTGGGTATGCAGATCGCATTATTTCTCATAGAAGGGAACGTCCTATTGATCCGTCTCAAAACGAGACGTAATCTCAGGTGGATATTTCAACTTCCTTAAACTAACTACAAAATTACTTCAAGCAGGTTGGATAAGAATGTATAGGCATTTAAAACTGGTGGTAGTTCGTTTTTTCGTTATATATGGTCTAGTTCTGTGGATTCGGCAGAGCCCA